TTTCTACCAGGGCTATGTAGAGGGAAAGCCCTCTTCTTTGGTCACCCTCAGCACTTGCTCAGGAGGATTTAGGGGTTTATTTCAATTAGAAAATAACACTTATGAGATTGAACCTGTCCAGACATCTCCTACCTTTCAACATGTAGTATATAGACTGAAAGAAAAGGAGATTGATGTCAATATGAAGTGTGGACTAACAAAAGAAGAACAAAGTCATCAAGAGACCATGATACAGAATGCAGACAATCTAGTCAACAAAACTATTTCTGGAAGAAGTTGGTGGATGGACACTAGGTATGTGGAGATTGCAATTGTGGTGGGATATGATCGATATGTGGACTTTGATAGAAATGAAACTTATATTCTTCTACTATTTCTGGATCTTGTCCATACAGTAAATTCAAGGTATAATCCACTTTCTATTGAGTTAACTTTAGTTGGACTGGAGATCTGGTCAGTGAAGAACCTCATACAGATTACTGACAATATGCAAGACACACTTGGATTTTTCAATAATTGGAGAAGAGACTCACTGCTTAAACGTCTAGATAATGATGTTGGCCATTTATTTTTATCTAAATCTTTTGTAGGAATAGGTGGATTAGCCTACCTAGGAACAGTTTGTAATAGTGAAAAGGGATCTGGTATTGTATCATTTTATACCTATAGTTTTTCTGAATTTTGTATGGTGTTTGCCCATCAATTAGGGCACAATCTTGGCATGAGACATGATGAAACATACTGTAATTGTGGTAAACGTGTTTGTATTATGGATGCAACTCTCACAAATGGTTACAAGTTTAGCAACTGCAGTCAAACTGATTATTATAACCGGATGAACTTGCCTTGCTTGTTAGTTCCCTCAGATCCTGATAAAGCTATTAGAATCAAGTACTGTGGAGACAAAATAGTGGAAAATGGAGAAGAGTGTGACTGTGGTTCAACAGATCAGTGCCTGTTGGATCCATGTTGTCAGCCTGATTGTAAATTGAGTCCAGGAGCCACTTGTTCTTCTGGAAAATGCTGTGTGAATTGTAACTATATTCCTGCTCAGGTTATGTGCAGAAAAAACATCAGTGTCTGTGATCTTCCTGAGTATTGCAATGGATCTTCAGAGTGGTGCCCTAAAGATGTTTATGTACAAGATGGTGCCCCATGCAATGAGAAATTACATTGTTATCATGGGAAATGTACTACTATGAATGACCAGTGTAAAGACATGTTTGGTACCAGAGCCACAGCTGCTTCAGAAGGTTGTTACAACAATGTGAATGCTCAAGGTGATCGTTTTGGAAACTGTGGCTTTAAAAATGGAATATACCAAAAATGTAGAGCTAAAAATGCCTTGTGTGGCCGAAAGCAATGTGTCAGAATTTTTGAGTTAGAGTTTTTGGGGGAACATGAGACCGCAATTCAAACAACCATTGACAATAAAGTATGCTGGGGTACTGACTATCACATTGGAATGAGCTCAAATGATAAAGGAGCAGTGTATGATGGCACTCCATGTGGCGTTGGCATGATGTGTCTTAATCAGAAATGTCAGAATGTATCTGTCTTGAATTATGACTGTGATTTTAAAAAATGCAATCATCATGGAATATGCAACAACCATAAAAACTGCCACTGTGATTATGGCTGGGCCCCTCCTTTCTGTATAGAGAGAGGGTTTGGTGGGAGCATTGACAGTGGCCCTCCTCCACGACAGAAGCGTAGGCTTATTTTGACTAGGGAAGAAAAATTATTTAGCTATATATTTCTCCCACTGGTTGCAATTTTTTTTTGCATTATTATTGTTTTTAGAAATGAGTTGATATACCTGTATACAAAACTGAAGAAAAGAGTACATTCGCCCAGGAAAAAAGACAATGAAATGATGAAGAGGAGCTCAGATATGAGAGCCATACAGTTGCGAGTCATGCAAAATGCATAAAATACGTATGCAACAGTATTGTACAAACATGCATTTGAGTGTGCAATACTGTAGTATTTTTTAAAAAGCTAGTTCTTAATGCAATTTGTATCCAAGACAAAATGATTTGTAAAGATCTTGGTTTAATGAATGGAGAAGGAAATTTCATCTATACACCAGGGCTCTGTCTATCCCATAGCTCAGACTATTTCCCCTCTAAACCACTAGTATCAGTCCTATAAAATGGGAGAGTATATATTCTAAGCAAAAGCCCTTGTTTCCAGTATGAAAATTCTGCCACCAAAACTTACATGAGCAGCTGTATTGTCTGAATAACTCTTATCCCTTCCCAGAGGTACACTCACTATATCAGGATAAGAAGGCAATACTGGACACAATGTTATGGCATATAATTTATTTTGTACCAGTATAGCTAAGCTCTGGCAAAGATAAAAAAGGATACGGATACATGTGAGAAGAAAAAAACATTAACTGCATGAAGACAGAAAAGACAATTATCTGTAACTGTACTACTAACAATTTATACTAGGTAAACCAAAGCTTAAACATTGAATGTCCCAATATGAGATTACATGTAGCACATACCAAACTCTACAGTTAATCTAGGTGTAACATGAATCAAAATTTGATCACTGCAGATAAGATCTCTTGATATTCTGAATAATTCCTTCTGAATAAACTGGTGAAAGATCAATTCTTCCATCCATTATGGACTATGTTTAGTCATGGAAAAATATATCAGCACAATTATTTCCTGTTATAATCGTGGATTACATGAAATATCTTTAGCTGGGGAGAAGGTCAAGAAACCAACAGAGCATCCTGAAGATCCTGATCCCAATTTCTCAGCTTCACAAGAGGAGAAGGTGGTGGGAACAGAGATTAATGGTTCCCCACAGCACAGCAGAGATACATCTGTATTAGCACTGTAATAATTGCTTCCAGGTAATATCAGATATGTCTTCCCATCAACATGCACAGAAGCAGAATGTCATGATCCCAGTGCTGGAATCCACATGTTTAAGAAAGAAATGGGGTGGGAGAGATGATATTCCTTAGCTTGGCCATAAACTCCACAAGGTAGAGGGGAACTTTATTCAGTGTCTGGGATCACTTCTCACTTTGAAAAGAAAACAAACACACCAAAGTTGTGTGCAGTCATTGATGGGTGGTGGATCATCTAAGGAAGTGGCTGTGCCGGGATAAGAACAACCAATACCCAGGCAACCTTTCTGATATATCAGCTCAATGCATCCTACCTAAGATAGAAATGCATCCTGCTAAACATGAAGAGAATCTATTACTTCAGCTAGGAACCTGTGAAGACAGTCAAACCTTCAGAATGTAGCCAGAATGTGCAATAGCACATTCCTGTCTTCTATGTTGTAGCCATTTGTCCAAAGAAGGAAAATGCAAACTAATATATTTTGGAGGAGGATTTGGCACTGTCAGCAGTATTAAACCAACTCATTCTTTCTTGTTTCCTTCAAACACCTGTGCAGCACTATGGCCTGTTATCTACTGTTGAGTTCCAAGTTACAGAAATGACATTTCCCCCTCTCTGTGTGTTGGCTTGATAAGAATGGAAGTAGAGAGCCATCCTCATACTGAGAGCCTTGCTGACCAGAAACTGAATGAACTGAATGAGATCATAGTGATCTTGATGGTACTAACCTCTCCAAGTGCTGAGAGAGAAAGGAGAGTTTGGCTATCTCTGTATACTATAGCCATAACACTGCAATTTCCTCTTGCATTTGTCTACTCAGAGAAGGTGACAATGCAGTAAATAAGGCAGATACTCTTTGTGACAGCAGGCTATCAGATAAGCAAGTAAACCAGTTGAGCTCCATAAGGATGAACCATCATTGGCTTCCCATGGACTTTGGATTCACATCTTGAAATCAATGAGAGACATTTTAGGTCAATGGTCCTCCTTAACCAGAAGGAGGAGGAGGAGGAAGAAAAAGAAGAAGTAATAAGATGAGGAGATGATAACATTAAACTCACCCAATGGAAAGGACTGAAACTATATTTTCCCTTGCTCCATGTGAGCCTGTAAAAAGTGTGAAGATTAGACATTTTTATTGCAATTGAACTGTGGTATTTTGCTCAGTGTAAAGCACATCCCTGTCTTTCTTGAAATGAAATAATACAAAAATGAAGCATAATTTTTTACCTTTTTTGAAACAAAATTTTTAAAACTATTTCTAGATTAAAATTAGTGTAGATTTCTTAAAAAGTAACATCTCCCCAGTTTATTCTATTTTAGTGAAATTAATAAAAATATCAGTTAAAAATAAAATTGGATATATATGTTTCTTAAATGGTCTTGGGTGTTTCCCTCAGAGTTTGTCCATGTATCAAAAATGCAAGAGAAATGTCAGAGTTGGATTGGAATGAAATCCAACTTGTATTGGAAAGACTGTGGAATGAAATCTAAGCTGTGCCCAGTGGCAAGTGATGGGCAAGAGAGGATGGAGAAAAATGGTGCAGTGCAGTTACCAAGAGTAGTTAAACATTGATGTGACATTTTCACATCAGAAGGCTGCCAATTATCTGGTAGAAAGCTGACCTTGCTGTTTCAAGGGCACTGCTGTTGTTAACTGCCTTTGAGTTGATCTCGACTCATGGAGACACTGTGAATGTGACATCTCCAAGACTTCTTATCCTCCACTACTCTGCTTAGTTCCTGCAGATTCATACATGTAACCTCCACAATAGAGTCCATCCATTCAGTGACATCACTAGGTTTGGTGGCTCCTAGTGTGATAAGTCATGGTGTCAGCCCCATTGACCCCCTCCCATACCATGCCATACAGAATTCTTAGTAATGGATTTCTACTAATGTTACTCATTAATCATAATTTCTGTATATTACTGCATGTAATGGTAATAGTTGTGACATAAACAACTTTGTTTCTTTGTTGTTGTGTGCCTTCAAGTTGTTTCTGACTTATGGTGACCCTAAGAGGGTTTTCTTGGCAAGACTTGTTCAGAGGAGGCTTTCTATTGTCTCCCCCTGAGACTGAGAGAATGTGACTTGCCTAAGGTTACCCAGCGGGTTTTATGGCCAAGCTGGGAATTGAACCCAGGTCTCCAGAGTTGCAGTCAAGCACTGAAAGCACTATGCCATACTGGCTCTCTAAACAACTAGCAAAATTAAAATTATACCTTTAAATTACAATAATAATAATAAATAATAATAAATTTTTATTTATAGCCCGCCTCTCTGCATAGCAATCGGGGCGGGGTACAACAATATTTAAAACAGAACAAAGTTAAAACATTCCCTCATCCCATAATCCCATCCTCCCTCCCTCCCATCCCCTTAAAACAGGATTAAACAAGAGACTAATTAAAATACAATATTAAATAAATTAAATCTCAAAAATAACATGAGGAATCAGACTAATGGGACTCGTCTATGGGCCGACAGCTATTCCGGGAAGGCCTGCCGAAAGAGATCCGTCTTTACTGCTTTCTTGAAAGCAGCAAGGGTGGTGATAAGACGGATCTCATCCAGCAGGCCATTCCAAAGTCTGGGAGCGGTTGCGGAAAAGGCCCTCTGGGAGGTCTGGTACAGCCTAGTTTTTATTACGAGTCTGGCCCCCTGAGTCCTTTGGACCGGCCCCAGGCCGGTCGTGCCGCCACAGCCGCTGACCCCCACCGCCACTGCCTGCCGCCGCTGCATGCGCCAAGTACTGCGCATGCACAAACGAATTGTGGCTGCCATTTTGTTTTCCAAAATGGTGGCCACAACTTGCTCACGCATGCGCCTGCGCAGTACTCCAGAAGTACTGCACATGTGTGAGCGAGCATGCACACGCATGTGCAGTACTTCTGGTGTACTGCGTATGCGTAGGCACGTGAGCACGGGGCCATTTCCCCCCCCCCTCGGCCCGGTGGAAGACCTGGGGACCAGCAACCAGCCCCAGGTAAGAAAATGTTGTCAACCCCTTTTCTATAGGGTCCCATTAAGAAGCTACTTATCTTCCCTATATCTTTGTGGCATAAACAATCTCTAGAATGGCTTTACTATCATGAGATAGATTTTTCTCCTGTTCAGTGGACATAAATGAGGCAGATTCAAGACATACTACAGGTCTGTAGAGAAATTCCTTCAGAAAGCAGAATTGCTTGATACCTCCTAATTCTGTCTGATGTCAGCCAATGTTTTCCTTTGTCTCTAAAGAGTGAAAACTTTATGTGGCACATAAATAATCAATGGCTGTCCCAAAGTCAATTTGCTAGCTTTCTGCACCAACAAAACTGTTGCTGCTTCAGCTGTCAAACACCCGACCAGCTCTGTGCCACATAATCTGTTTGACTTGAGAAGTATGCCTCTGGCCTTTTCCAGGCACCAAAATCCATAGAGGACTTTGTCACATGGGGGAAATCCCATGCAGAAATGGAGTTTTAAATCGGGAAAAAACCCGCAAAAGTGGGTTGATTTTCCCATGATATCGTTAAATTGTTGTTAACCCAAATGGAAAGTAGTCAAAAGCCGCTCCTTTTTTACTTTCAGAAAATCCCAAAAGTAAAAAGGAGTGGCATTTGTCTACTTTCCCTTCAGGTTAACAACATGTGTGAAACATCATGTGTGAAAATCAACCCACTTTTGTGGGCTTTCCCCAGCATGTAAATCTCATTTCTGCATGGGATTTCCCCCATGTGATAAAGTCCATAGTCTGTCACCATCAAATCTAAATCCTTAACCACATCCAGTCCCCCTTTGTGGGGAAAA